AGGCGTCGGGAGGCTCCACGGGGGGGTTGTCGCTTATCCAGGGGGGTTCGTGGGGTACCTTGGCGAGCCGAGCCAGGTGGCTCCAGGTGGCTCCACGGGGGGCTGGCCGAGGCATGGCCTGGCGAATCCGAACCACGAGCCAGACGGGAACAAAGGGCCCATTACAAGTTACCGAGCACGCAGGAGACGATGTCGCACGCGGGTTCGTCGCCCGCCTCCTCCGCGCGTCCCTCCTCCGGCGGGTCGCCCGCGCGGAGGCACGCCTCGGCGCGGGCGGCGGCGGCGGCCGACTTTCTTTTCGCGCGCTTCTTTTTGGGTGGTCTGCCGGCGCGGAAGCGCGCCTCGGCGCGGGCGGCGGCCGGCGCGCGATCGTTTTCAACGGGCTTGAGCTCGACGCCCGCGGGCGCGGCCTCGACGTCGCCGCCGCCGTCCTCGGGCCGCCGCCCGTAGTACCAGCCCGCGACGAGCGCGCCCGCCGCGACGGCCGCCGACGCGGGGTCGATCTGCGCCTCCATGCAGAGCTCCGCGAAGGCCTCGAAGGGCCCCGCGGCGACGGCGAGGATTGTCATGAGCTTCCCGAACTGGTCCGGGCTCCACCCCGCGCGGACGTCGGCATCGACGATGTGGGTCTCCGCGTAGAGCATGATCGTCAGGAACAGCTGTAGGAAAAGCATGGCGGACATGGCCGTCGCGAAGCGATCCGTCGAGTCGTCGTCGTAGGGCGAGAGGTACGCGTAGATCACGGAGAAGACCAAGGAGAGCAGCGCCGCCGTGTAGATCTTGCCGATGGAGTCGTCGTCGTACAAAACCATGAAGCCCGTCAGCGCGATGCGGCGGAAGCAGTCCCGTGCCTAACTTACGCCTTGTAGCGCGCCTCCAGCAGCCGGAAGAGCGCGCGCATGCCCATGGCCTCGCCGCCCTCGGGCCGGCCCGGCTTGGAGCCCGTGTTGTAGGCCATCATGTCGAGGTGGAGCCAGGGCGGCGGTGCGCCGCCGTCGGGTGGCGCTTCGACGAACTCCGCGAGGTAGAGCGCGGCGGTGATGGCGCCGCCGTAGGGGCCGGCGCCGATGTTCTTGAGGTCGGCGATCTTCGAGTCGATCTGCTCGCGGTAGCCCGGCCAGAGCGGCAGGCGCCAGACCTGGTCCTGCTCGCCCGCGGACACGGCGACGAGCTCGTCCGCGACGTCGACGCCCTCCTCGTTGGCGAAGAGCGCCGGCACGTCCGTCCCGAGCGCGACGCGGCCCGCGCCCGTGAGCGTCGCGCAGTCCACGAGCAGCTCCGGCGCGTCGGCGCACGCCTCGACGAGCGCGTCCGCGAGGACGAGCCGCCCCTCGGCGTCCGTGTTGCCGATCTCCGTCGTCTTGCCGTTGCGCGCCGCGAGCACGTCGCCGGGCCGGAACGCGTCGCCGGACACGGCGTTCTCCACCGCGGGGATGAGCACGCGCAGCCGCACCGGTAGACCCGCGTCCATGACCATGGCCGCGAGCCCGAGCACGTGCGCCGCGCCGCCCATGTCCTTCTTCATCGTCAGCATCGCCGCCGCGGGCTTGAGGTCGAGGCCGCCCGTGTCGAAGCAGACGCCCTTGCCGACGAGCGTGACCCTGGGCGCGTCCGCGGCGCCCCAGGTCAGGTCGACGAGGCGCGGTTGTTGCTTTTCGCCGGCCGCGCGGCCGACGGCGTGGATCTGCGGGTAGCCCGCGAGCAGCGCGTCGCCCTCGACGGTCGCCACCGCGGCGCCGTAGGCGGCCG